TGTGTGCGTGCACGGCCAAAATCCCGAGAGGAGAATGGAGGAGAAGAGATTGCGGCATGGCCATCCCCCCTTGGGGGTGATTTCTCGCTTTCTGGTGAGCACACACGCCCTGTAGCAAAAACCTCTCCAAAAAGAAATAAATAAATAAGAGCCATTATGCTTCAGGCTATAAATCCATCATTGAATGGCAGGACCATTCAGGGAATAGCCAGCATCTCAAATGATGCTGACGTCATGTGGAAGAACAGGAATTCTAGGGTATTTCAGTCAGTTAGATACTTCTGTGTGTGTATCTTCTACACACAGCTCAGCCAGAACAGGTCACATGGCCCCACATGGGAGCCGAAACTACAATCCTACCATGTGCTGGAAGGGAGAAAACCTAGAAACTTGGCAAGCATTCTAATAACTATACCCTGTTCACCTTCCTTTTGCAGCAGACCCTGCAGACAGGGTTTTCTTCTCACAGTCTCTTTAAGAGATGCAGGGAAAAGGTGCCATTTACTTCAGAAAAAGGGTCTGAAAATGGGAGGTCATCCTTGCCAGCGAGAACAACAATGCACGGGCAGCTTCAGAGCCCATCTGCAGTCAGGGACCAAGGGCAAGGTGGCGGGAGCTGAATCACTGCCCCCTTTTAGCCCCACACACTTGCCACACTTCTCTACCCTGACTTGGAATATGGAACCAGGTTGTTCAAAGATGTTCCACGGAGGGCCAGAACGTGGTGTGTAGAGGTTATGGCAACTGGATACTATATGGCCAACTATGCAGTTCAAATCCTGGGCAAGGGGCTTGAAAATCACACTGGGCCTGTGTGCGCGTTCCCAAAACCCCAAGAGGAGAATGGAGGAGAAGGGATTGCAATGTGGCTATCCCCACTCGGGGAGTGATTTCCCACTTTCTCTCTCTCTCTCTCTCTTTCCATGGCAAGCACACACACCCTATAGCAAAACTAAAAAAAGAACCAGCAGTTAGCATAATGGCTATGTCGCTGGACTCCCACGAAGTCGACCGCGGTTCGCGTCCCGGACCCGGTGGCTTAAAACTCACGCCAGAAAAAAAAGATTCTCCATACATGTTCTTCCCTCCACCTCCCCTGCATTAATTAATTAATTAATTAATTATACTGCTGGTCCTTCCTCTTCCCACTCTTTTTTTTATCTTAAGAATGGGTCTTGGAAGGACCAGCAGATGGCATAATGGCTATGTCACTGGACTCCCATGTAATTGACTGTAGTTCGAGTCCTAGACCAGGCATCTTAAACCTCACACCAGGCATGTGTGCATGCATGCCGAAAATCCCTGGAGGAGAAGGGATTGCAGCATGGCCATCCCCCCAGGGAATGATTTCTCATTTTCTTTCTCCCTCTGTCTCTCCGGAGAGCACACACACCCTATAGCAAAAAAATCTCTCAAAAAAAAAAAAAAAAAAAGAAATGGGAGAAAGCCCAAGTGTATGGAAAAAATTTGTGTTCTTGAGATCACTATACCCATTTTTGTTAATTTTCACACTTTAGGCTAGTCCCGGACCCCATGGCTTGAAAATTACTCCGAGTACGTGCCCAAGATTCCTGAAAGAAAATGAAGGGAAAGGGATTGTGGTATGGCCATCCCACCTGGGGAGTGATTTCTCTCCCTCTCACCGTCTCTGTCTCTTTGTCTCTCTGGCAAGCACACATGCCCTAAAACAAAACAAAACAAAACAAAAAACACGTCTTTCCATGTTACCATCCTCCTGCTTCAGCCTTCCAATCAACTCTACAAGCAGGCACCACCATGCTTAGTTTTATTTTCTGGGGGGCACAGGGCCTTACTATGTAGCCCAGACTGGCCTCAAGTTTGCAATCCTTCTGCTCCAGTCTCTCTAAATTGCAGGGATTTGCAGGGATTACAGATTCATGCCACCACACCTGCTCTATGTACTGTATCAGGGATCGAACCCGTGCCCTCCGTGTGGTCAACCTACAGAGCACAGCACCCCTGCAGTATGCTAACACAGCTGGGCTCCACTCCTGTTCTTGACCACCATCCCAGAAAAAGTTTCATCCACCACTGTCTGTGATCTTAACTATGCAATAGGAAGAGACTCATGACTACATTTTTTTTCCTTGTAGTTTTGCTATAGGGTGCATGCACTCACCAGAGAGGAAGAATGAGAAATGAAATAAAAATTCCTTCTCTTCCATTCTCCTTTTGGGATTCGGGGCATACATGCACATAAGCCCAGCATGATTTTTCTTTCTTTCTTTTTTTATTTTTAAGAGGTTTTTGCTATAGGGCGTGTGTGCTCACCAGAAAGACAGAGAGAGACAGAGAGACAGAAAGTGAGAAATCATCCCCCAGGGGTGATGGCCACACCGCAATCCCTTCTCCTCCATTCTCCTTTCGGGATCCTGGGCACTCATGCACACGTGCCCAGCATGAGTTTAAGCCACCAGGTCTGGGACTCGAACTGCAGTCGACTACATGGGAGTCCACCGACATAGCCATTATACTAGCTGCTGGTCCCAAATCCAGCATGATTTTCAAGCCACCAGGTTCACAACTCAAACCATAGTGAGCCATGCAGGACCCAGCACCTTAACCTCCAGGCCACCTGCTGACCCCCTGATTAGATGAATGGAAGGAAATAAAAGAAGCTAACATTTGTATGTCCTGCACTCTTACTATGGTCCACCTATTGTCCCCCAAAAAACCCTCCGGGGCATCCTCCCAGATAAGGAAATCAGGCATGGAGAGCTGCAACTGCTTACCTAGGCCGGCTCAATGCATAAGCCAGAGAGCAAGGGTCAAACCCAGGAAGCCGGGCTGCAAACTCGCATCCCAGTGGCTGTGCCGCCTCTCAGACATGCTGACATAGATGTTGGATAGCTACAGCCAGAACACTCTCAGACCAGGGTCATCCAAGACCTCCATCAACCCTGGAGAGCTTCCTACCATGCCCAGACCCCTTGAGCTCCTTATCTCAGGTAAATCCAGAAGTTTCTCCCCATTCTTCTTTCAGGAACTGTTTCCCTCTCAGCACCAGCACCGTCCTGAATGGCTACCTGGGATTCCCCAGGCTTAGCAGGAAGGAGTCCCAGGGCTCTCCCTGGGGACCCAACCCTGGGCTGCTGCTTCCAGCTCATGTCCTGGAAATGCCACTGACTCACCAAAGGGTACCTCCCCACCAGGTGGAAGGGTGCCATCTGTCAGAAGGGCCAGTCCCAGAGTGACAGTAAAACTGTCACTGGGCTCTGGCCCATCAGACTGAATGTTGGTGATGACACCGTCAAGGAGGCCACATGAAGGCAGAGATAGTAGCCCCATCAGATCCATGCAAGGGATGGGAAAGGCATTGACTCATCCCGGGCGCCGTAGAAATACTCAATATCTAAAACCGGGAAATCAGCATTGCTCTGTTTGCCCTCTCTTCCTGACCTTTCCCAGGAAGCTTCTACTCCACCATTCTCTCCTGAGAACCAGGCTCAGTAAGTGTGAATGAAGGAGCCAGGCCACTTAGAAAATGAACACAGAAGTGTTGTCCCTGCCCCTCAATCAAAGTGAAATAACTCAGCTCTCCACCTTTGCTTTCTTTTCTTTTTCCTTAAAGTCTATTTATTTATTTATTCCATGAGCAGGAGAGACAAAGACAGCACCCCAAATAGTGTCTTGGCCCACCATGCAACGCAGCCCCCAGCTAGGGCCATCATGGCAGTGTATTCAACGAGGTCTCCCTACTTGAACCGGGAACTCCGACTCCAACCGGGAACCTTCCCAAGAGGGATTGCAGCGCTCAAGGTCCTATTTTACCTCAGCACCACGATCTGGCTTCCGGTCTTTGTTTTCTAATCCTAGGCAGGTATCACATCCCTAGATCCCCACGGTCTTTCCATGTCCTCTCCCAAAGCCAACATGAACCGGAAGGAGATAGACGGAGGGACCTGAAACTCGAAACTGAACGCATCACTCAGGCCACAAACCGAATGCAACACCCAGGCCGGAAACCGAACTCATCACCCAGACGACGGATCGTCCATGCATCATTCCCTCCCTCTCAAACCTCCCAGCTGCCCTTTCTCCTCTTCCCCAGTCCTAGCCCACAGCAACCCCGGGGGGTAGACGCAGGTTGGGGGTTGCATTGCAGCTTGGGGCCCGGCTGGCTCAGTCCCCACCACTGCAGGCTGGAGCTCCAGCGGTGCTCAGGGGAGACCTCCAGGGCAGTGGCTCCTGTTTCTTCCTCTTCGGTGAGGTCCTCACACAGCCCCCTCTTTTCCCACGGAGGGACCCTTGGAGAGCTCGTCTCCACCGCGAAGCTGCTGTCCTGACCCCCTTCTCACTCCCTGGAGGAGGTCTGGGGACAAACTGCCCCGCCAGGATGGCGCTGTCTGGAGCGCCCAGGGAGGAGGAGCAGGGCCTCAGCACTAGGGATCCCTCCGTGGTGAGATGCTGCCTCGGAGACCCCAGCTGCCCTCCCCTTCCCCCAGCCTGCCTGACCTGGAACTTTTAGCAATAGGGACTTGTTCGGGTTTAATGAAAACAAGGAGGCCCTCTGCAGCCTGGGGCTCTCGCTGGGGAACTGCGCAGCCTCAGGACAGCGGGCAGGGTGTAGGCATATCCTGGAGACATCCCTGAGTCCTGGCAGTGCCTGGCCAGGTGGGCATGCAGGGGTGGCTTTATGGAACTGTCGTCCTCCCCTCCTCCATGCACATCAAAGTGGGAGCACCAGCTCTCAGGAAAAGCTCATCACCAATTCTCTCCCCAGCCTCCCTCCCTCTGAGCCTTTTATCTGCAAGGAGTCCCGAGGTCTAGGCCGGCTCCTTTTCAGATCAAGGCAAGGGATGGGAGAGCAGGAACCTCCCCTCTTTCCGCAATTCTCCCCAGCCTCCCTCCCTCTGAGCCTTTTATCTGCAAGGAGTCCGGAGGTCTAGGCCGGCTCCTTTTCAGATCTTGATCTAGGCAAGGGATGGGAGAGCAGGAACCTCCCCTCTTTCCGCAATGCCTGCCAGACAGTTACTCACACTTCCCTGTGGCAGGGCAGTCGGAGATAAGGGACCGTGAACCTCACGTGACCTTCCAGCGTCACCACCGACCGATGACCATAGACAGACCTTGGATCACTGTGTCCTGAACAAAGTACCAGGTGTCCACGTCTTACTGATACAACCACCGCGCTGGGCGCTGTTTCTTTCTGGCCTTTGAAACAGTTCGGATTCATCCCGGTCAGCAAGCCATCAGTGACTTGTGGGGTTGTGTCCTTGCATAAGTTAATGACCTCAGCGTCACTGTTCTTTGTTTGAGTCTTTGACATCCTGTTATGTCAGCATTCTGGCAAAAGTCAAACAAAGATCCTATGCTAGCATCCGGTTGCAGCTCTATTCAGGAAAAAAAAAAAAAAGTGGCTTCTTCTCTTTCTCTTTTCAGCCAAAGATTAGAAAGCTGGAAGGTTATCTGAAACCGTAGGTCCAAACCTTGTTGAGGGTCTTGCTTGTTTCTCTCTCTCTCTCTTTCCTTCTCTCATTTTCTTGCATGCAGGCACTGTCATGAATCAAATCAGTACATCTAAAAACAAACAAACAAAAACCTAAGGTCGTCTAGAAAACCCATAGTAGGTATCTGGCTTGTATGATGAACCTCCCTTCTGTAGGCAAGGCCAACCTCAGAGGCTGTGACTGCGTGTAGTCTCACGAGATTCCCGGATCAGAAGGGCTCGCCTTTGATTGATTCTCTGCTGACTTTGTCCTGAAATTCTGCATTTTGCACTGGGCCTCATACATGGTGTAGCTGGTCCCGGTGCTGGGCTTGCAAACGGAAAAACTGTGCCCTTTTAAGAGTTCACCTTTGGGGACCAGCAGTAAGTGTAATGGCTATGTCGCTGGACTCCCATGTAGTCGACCGTGGTTCGTGTCCCGGACCCAGTGGCTTAAAACTCACACCCGGCGCATGTGCGTGCGTGCCCAAGATCCCGAGAGGAGAGTGGAGGAGAAGGGATTGCGGCGTGGCCATCCCCTCCGGGGGGTGATTTCTTGCTTTCTATCTCTCTGTCTCTGTCTGTCTGGCGAGCACAAGCTCCCTATAGCAAAAACCTCTCAAAAAACAAAAACAAAAACAAAAAGAGTTCACCGTTATCCGCAGGCAGATGGGTGAACAGCTCCTTTGAATGCAGCCTACTAAATGCCTCTGCCTCAAAGGAGGGAAACGCACAGGCAGAATTTTTGGCCCTGGCAAAGATCCGTAGATGAGGTACAGGACTGAGACAGCTGGTAGAGGGAGAAGAATGAAAAGGAAGGAATTTCAAGTGTGAGATAAGGCTTGCTTGGAGAAGAGGTTACAAACATTTTAAAAGTACTGATAAGGGCTGGAGAACTATGAGGAAGAAGAGATGGCTGCCCATTCGGCCTACCTGTTGCTGTCACTCCCGGTGTCATAGGATGGGAGAGTGTTGAGCTGCTTTGTGTGAAGTCCTTGGTTCTTTGGGTCCAGATCATTAAAATTAGAGACCTGTCCCTAGGTGCAAAATAAAGCCACAACCACAATAGAAGTAGGTAGAAGAGAGAATTTAATAGGAAGGAAAGATTTTTGAAAAGAAGTATACCCAAAAGACTTTTGGGTGGGAAGGTTGCTAGGTAGCAACTGCTGCGTTTGGAACTGGTTAGGTGTTATTTTTATTATCAGGGGTGATAATGAATATTTAACAGTGGGAGGTCTGTCACACCATCTATGTCTTTTGTTTGAATTCCTGGGCTTTTTTCTGTGCCTACACTGCTCTCTCACAGGTGAAGAATTTGAGGAAACTGATCACCTAACTGCGCATGCCCAGTGTGAGCCATGTTGCTAGGAGCATCCTAATTAAAATAAACTGCCCGATTAGTTTATTGCCCCTGTGAGAATCAGAATGTTGACCAAAATGTCTGATTGGGTCCTTTTGTATTTATGAGGATTGATAAGAGGGAAATTTACAATCATCCCTATATGTCTTCCTCAGGTACCAAGGAAGAAAAATGGTATTTGCCTCGTCTTCTGGTGCCAGGCGCTGGGTGGGAGGAAGGCATTTTCTTGGAGGAGTCGGTTGTAATTCCTGTTAAATTATGATTGGTGTGACATGTGTCCTTCTGCTATTCTCTTGGGGCAGCCTGCTCATTACCAGCTAACTGCCTACCACACCTAGTGACTGACTGCCACAAGACAGTCTTCCTCAAGGCCATTCCTGGTTTGCAATCTCCCCTGGTCTGACCAGACACCCTGTTGAACCAACAACATTGCTGCCAATAAGTTGTTTCTGATAGCTTCCACTAATGGGCTTCCACCCAGTCCTTTCACCCATGTCCCTTCCCCATCTCCATAAGACTACTCCATTGTCCTTGTCCAGTGTAAACTCTTTCAGACCAACTTACACACATTGTAACTCTTTTACTAGTGGAGAAGACTCAGCCTGTTCAGGGTCAGTGGACATATTGCCATTCCCATCTAGCCAGGCTGCTGGTGGGGCTGACTGCATGCCCAGGGCCTGACCCTTCTGTGATGCTAGCTTTGTGAGGCCAATAAATCTCCTTTTCCTCAGAGCTTTGATTTTGCAGAAGTCCTTTATGTTCAACATTAGGTAGAAGGTGAAAAGTGCTAAGCCCTAGTGGTAGAACAGCACAGAATACTCCAGAAGCTACAAATCTTTCAGTAAGACTGCAATTGAGGGCTGGAGAGAAATGACAAATTAAGGAAGAGGAGAGTGGGTCAAGTCAGAAAGTACCTTGATAGCTCTTAAAAAGGAGTTTAATCTTTATCCTAGAAATGACTGGGAACTGTGAACACTGATCACAAAATCCAGGTCCCTCCCACCTGGACACACAGCTGGGCTACGTGATGTAGGCTCCTTGCTGTCAAGTATGGGCATGAGACTGAGTCCTCACCAGCAGTACCAGGTAGATAAGATGTGGGTTATTTCCATGCACTTTCTGCTGTTTCTTCTGCAGCATCCTTGAACAGTGAGTGTGGGACGTGTGAGGATCTTGAACTTCTAAATCACCACTTTTGACTTTATGGGGCAAGAAATAGGTTAAGCTACAGTATTGCAGCAGCTAGCGTTACTCAGATCTATATTTAGGAAAGATCTCCCACCCAGTGGAGGATGGGTTGGAAGAGGCAAGAAGAAGAATGAAGACAAACGAGGATGCTTTTGCAGAAACTGGTTGAGTGATAATGAGAGCCTGTAGGCAGCTTCAAAGGTACTATTTAAATCTGCATGACAGGGAATTTGAGTGACAGGGAAGAGGGCGTCCTGTTGTCTGATTGAATAACTGTGTGGGTTGTCTTGCCTTTCAGTGTAATCCAACTATGATTAATGAGTACCGGGCAGGGCTCGGTGCCCAGTGTGCAGAGTTAATGAGGCAGACCTTACTCCTACTCTGGTAATTATAGTCCTAGAGCTGAAAATTAGAGAAGGAGGGTTGGGAAGGTGAATGATGTAGTCCTAGAGCCGTAAATTAGAGAAGGAGGGTTGGGAAGGTGAATGGTGAGCTTAGCTTTGGATAAAGTGAGATCGAAGTACTGGTTGGGTGTCTAAATGGAAGGGTGGAATGGACAGCTACAGAAGTGGCTCTGGAGCTTGGGAGACAGAGCTGAGCTGAATGTCCAGATCTGAAGCTCATCACCTCCCAGATGGCAGTGAGGCCACTGAAGTGGACCATACCAACTTGGGACTAAGAGGCTGAAAGAGGGCCCAGGCCACCCTCCATCAGGAAGAGCAACGTTAGAAAGATGAACAGAGAGAGGCCAGGAAAGTAGAAAGGAGAGCAGGGCCTGAGGCAAAGAGAATTTTGAGAAAGAAGTCACAGCTGTGTCAAACATGGCTGAGAAATCAAGCACCTATTAGATTCAGAAATTAAGAGAATGGAATCAGAAATACGGGGGGGATACTGCTGGGACCACTTAACACATGGTGGAGCACAAACAAGATCAGGGTTGGCTGATATGCAGTACACATTCACAAAGCCTAAAAGATTGATAAAATTGAGCCAATGGTGGGACCAGCAGTTAGCGTAATGGCTATGTCGCTGGACTCCCATGTAGTCGACAGCAGTTTGAGTCCAAGACCCAGTGGCTTAAACTCACGCCAGGCATGTGTGCGTGCATGCCCAAGATCCCGAGAGGAGAATGGAGGAGAAGGGATTGCGTTCTGGCCATCCCCCCCCC